ACCATTTGAGCAAATGGATATATATGATGAGGAAGATTTTCCAAATCAGAGCTGGGATCAAATATGGATCGGAAACCAACAGAATGATAAAATAAAGAACAAATATGAAATGCTTATTGATCTAACATGTTTCACTTTTATTAAAGCTTCACCAGAGACTGAAATATGGAGAAAAAGAACAAAGGAATTCTGGTATTTTTATTTGTGCGCTGTTTGATTTTCATTGGTCAATCATGTTTCACATGCATTTGATTCTTTTACATCAATGTTAGTATAATTTGTGGCATTTTGAATTCAAGGAGAAACTTGAAACTTTGGATGGACATGTCATGTATCCATCAATAGTTTCAAGAAATTAACCAATTCCAAGCCTAACAGAAAACCATAAATATTGCTTTATATAAACAAGTCTATAAACATACTAGTTTGTCTATGTGGACATCAGATGATAATGTTTATTTGTAATAGATAGATAGATAGATAGATAGATAGATAGATAGATAGATAGATAGATAGATATTAGTATATCTTCTTAATTAACAATAAAAAGTAAAGCCCATTCATTTCACAAAGACTAAGAACCATAACTTGTAAGAAAGTTTATCTTGAAAACCAAGAAGAGATGGAGGGGGGGGATCTATAATTATCAAAATCTCATACCTTAAATAATAAAATATGTGTTCTTTGAATAGTTTAAAACTTTTATAGAAAACTTACTTATTACAAACAATCAAATGATTGATATGATTGATCGGGGATCTTAGATTTTACAATTACCTGACTGACCGGAATAATGTTTAGTGATTTTAAATTTGTGCTGAGATTAGAGTTTTTTTTTTTTTTGTAATGTTATTAATAACAAATATCATTTCTACTTTGGCTACCATCTTATCTTGAGTGCTGTGTCTGGAAATTCACAGAGCTCAGAGAGTTGTCAATATGTCAAATAGAAAAAAACATTTATGTATTCTTTATTTTTTTCTTTAATTTCCTGAGTCAAGGGGTCTTTTTTAATGGAATCAGCAATGTTTCCTCTCCCCTCCTCTCTTTCTCTCTCTCTCTGTTAGTGAGGACTTTATTACATCTAATCGGATTTTCTTGCAGACATCACCTCTGGCACTGAGGAAGTCTGCTTGTCCAGTTGTTCATCTATACCCTAATAATACCCGGCATCATGCAAAAACATGTCTTGGATTTGGTTCCTCATGCCAAAAATTGTTGAAGTTTTAGTAAGGAAATGCTCGCTATGGCTGCCATGGAAGGATGTAGGAACAGGCAGTTTGGGCAAAGGATGCTGGGTAATGTGAAGTGTGATACAAATTACAATGTAGATTGATGAGGGCTTTGGTTTAGAATGAGGAGTGGGTGAGAAGGAGATGGGATCATTGTCAAGCTGAAAGGGGTAGGGGTATTAGTGGGTAGTAAGGGTAGAATAAAGATCTGGGTGGGGTTAAGATGTTGCTCATTGGATCTATTCCAGTGTCTGGACATTTGTCACTGGGAGCTGAGAATGAGAGGGAAGTGATTAGGGCATGGCAGGGATTCATGTGTTGCTAGGCAGGATGGATAGAGAGAAGTTTGAGAAATAGGGAAAGAGTGAGAAAGAAAGAAAGAACTAATGTGGGGTGAAGGAAAGATGTGAATGGGACAGAAAGAAAGAAAAGAAGGAAGAGACTGGATGAAAAGAAAGAAAGAGGAGACTGAGTAAAAGAGGAGAAAGAATATCAAAATTGAGAAAGAAAGAAACAAACAAACAGAGAGAGAAGAGACAGTAAAAAAAAGAAGGAGAAAAAGAAAGAGAGATTTTAGAAAATAAGTAATGTGTAAGAAAGGAAGGACTGAGGAAGGGGAAGGAAAGAAATGAATGAAAAGAAAGAAAAATGAAGAATAGACTGAATAGAAAGAAAGAAAGAAAGAAAGAAAGAAAGGATAAAATAAAAAGAAAACAAGAAAAAATCCAGAAAAAATTGAAAAAGAATGAAAGAATGGAAGTACTAAAAGATTAAAAGAAAGATGGAACAAACTGAAGAAAGAAAGAAAGAAAGAAAGAAAGAAGAATATTCTAGCAAATAGAGAAAAAGTAAAAAGGAAAGGAAAATGAGTGTGAAAGGATAAAGTAAATGAAACAACAAAAAGAAAGAAGGGAGAGAAGGAATGAAAAAAAGAATTGAATGAGCAAGAATGAAAGAACTGAGTAAAAAAAAAAACAAAATAGAAATGAAAATGAATGAAATATGGAAACGAAATATAAAGACATATAAGGTAAGAAAAACTGAATGAAATTAAAAAAAAAAGTAGACATTAGAGAGAAAAGAAAAAGAAAAACTGAAAAATGACTTGAATGAAAGTAAATGAAAAAAATAAATGAAAGACAAAAGAGAGGATAATTGGCTGAAAAAAAAGACATAGAACTTAATGAAAAAGAAAGAAGAAAAGGAAAGGAAACATTGATTTTGGAGAATAAAGGAAAAGAAAGAATCACAAGAAAAAGGCAAAAGAACTGATTAATGTTAGATAAGAAGTAAAAGAAAAAGTATAAATTTAGAGAAGATGTATAAGAAGGAGGTGGAATGTTTTGGTTTCTCTTTCTTGAACAATCTCAAAATCTGTTAGGATTATTTTTAAATTCTGTTCTGACATTTCTTGTAACCCATCTATAAAAATGTTACTTGATTTCTTCCATAAGCTGAAGTTCAGTGGGGGTGCCGCATTGACCTTCATGTCATCTCAGACTTATTTGGCACTTACCATTTTCTCTGTAAGTTATCAGACGAGGTAGTATTTGGTTACATTGTAGCAGCCAAAGGGAATATATTTTTCACTGTCTCTTCTGGTTTAACAGTGTCAAGAGATTTGTCAAGATTTATGACATTCCCACAGAACACGGGGAGAAGTGAAGTCATGTCTTTTGTTTACTGTATTTTCTATGCCACTAAACATGCAGTAGAATTTGAATATGTTGGCTCAATTGCCAATGAAGATGGCTCTAGAATAGGAATAATTTCAAGTGTAGTCCAAACAATGGCAGTTGTTGCAAAATGAAGAACCATCTAGAATGACAGGAATATCTGTTTGAAATCAAAGAATCAGACTCTTGTGTACATTGGCATTCTCAATGTTTCTACATGTCTGCAAATTTTGGAGATTAAAAGCAAAGAATCCAAGCATTATTACAAGATATGATCAGACAAGACACAGGCCCATTGGAAGATCTCATAAGCACCTTCACAAAATTGGAAAATGAAATGTTATGGTCCTATCAAAAGAGGCAACATAATCTTTCCACTACTATCCTACAATGTACCATCTAAGTCAAGATGAGTCAAGCAGAGGAGAAAATGAGTTGATAACATCACTAAGTGGGCTGGAAGATCATTCACATAGACACGGACATTGACAGGCAACTGAGACATATAGAGGGAGCTAGTCAGGTGCTAAACTGCACTGCAGCCCTACAACCACACCTGGTCATTGGACTGATGATGATGATGATGATGATGATAACAATGCTGATAATGATGATTATTATTATTCTCATTATTATTAAAATGATGCTGATGATTATGATGATGGTAGTGATGATGATGATGATGATGATGATGATGATGATGATGATGATGATGGCAGTGATGATGACAATGACAATGCTGATAATGATGATGATTATCATTATTACAATGATGATGATGATGATGATGGCAATGATGTTTACAGTGATAATGATGATAGCTGTGATGATGACAAAGACAATGATGATAATGATGATGATGATTATCATTATTACAATGATGATGATGGCAATGATGATGAAAGTGACAATGATGATGATGACATTGAAAATGTTGCTGCTGCTGCTGCTGATGACACTTTTAGCTAGCTGACACCACATTTTCCATCCAATATTTTAAAAGAAAAACATGAAAAATATTCCTTCTAAATTTATTAATTTTCAATAATTACAAACTATAACCAAAGGTAAGATTTCCACCAACTGCATTTCTGCATTTAAATGAATTTAAAATGCACACTATTTGATTGACTGAATACAACAAAGAGAGGAAAAAAAAATCACATGATAAACATTTAGAATTGTAGAATTATCACTGAAGATACCCCGAATATTCAGATGTTTACTGAAGCTGATCTGACCTGACCTGATTAATTTCTTGTATCAAATAAAAAAAAATGTTTCCAGGCTTGGGTTTTAGGAAAAAATATAATAATTAAAAAAAAAAAAACTAACTCAAAAGAAAATAAAAATAAGAAATAAAAGTTGAATGATTATGAATGAATGAAGAATAGAAAGACATCAAAATCTAAAGCGTAAAAAGGAATGAAATCAAAATGATTGTCATTCAGCAAATCCATTTGACTAATCAAGGACAGGGGAGAAAACTTGTGTATTTGTCACATGAAGGCATTTCAGAATTGTTCAGATTTCTCTTCCCTTTCCATGATGCTCATCTGCAATATTCTCTGATTTAGAGTTTTTGTTGATGCTGTCACATGAATGTGGGACAGCCAATAAAAATGCTGGGACATTTTGAGATGGGATGATTTACAGCTGGCATGCTGGTGGGGAGGAGAATACTGAAGGTTTCTTGATCAGTTGGAAGTGAACAGAGTGGAGTAGATGACATTCCGATTTGGCAAAGTTTGAAGAACAATGATTTGCTGGGGGTGATATGCTGCGACTCTTTATAAAATAAATAAACAAATGCATGCAAGAAAGCCTAATTACAGATGATAGCAATAATAATGCAAAATTATAAGTTAGAATAGAAAATAATGCAATTATAAAAATAATGCAAAATTTTCAAAACAGAGAAATCATGCAAATGATGATGTTGCCAAATAATTCAAAATTGGCAAGAAATAATTTGCGATAATAAAGGAGAATTATGAAATCATAAAAATATAAAAAATAGATAATAAAAATATCAAAAATAAATATAATTAAATAATGATAAAGATTTAAAAACAAATCATCATAGATAATAGTCTTTTTCAGAACAAAAATCTTGATGAGAAAATGTTATGATTATACATATAATAACCCTGTTCTGTCTGTCAGTAACTTGCATTAATTCCTGACCATTGACTATACCTCTCTTCCTTATTTTAAATGCCTGGCCATAATAAAATTATTAATCATGCATTTATACTATCCTGTTAGAATTTTGATTGTCCCACCTTTTGTTAGTTAGCACGACCATTATGCCCTGCCAACACTTCATAAATAATAAACTATTCTGTTTTGAATGCATGAAGATAGGGGAAAAGGCACTACTTGGTATCAGTGAAAAAATGAAATACGGAAATAGATACTGCAATTTGATATCAACCAAAATTCCAAGAAAGAAAGGCAAGTGTGATAAAAATGCCATTTTTCAGATGCACAGTATTGAAAAATGGAAACTGAGTAAGATAATCGTGAAAAATCCAGTTACCATAAATTATTTTCAAATTATTATTTAGAAAATATTTTCGAAAGATGAGAATTTGGCTAGTACATATTATAGCTATATTCTTTCTGTCAATAATACTTGCATAAATTCCTGATCACTGACAATACCTTTCTTTGTGATTCTTAAGTCCTTAGCAATGCAGTTACATAATAGGAACATTCTGTCAGCAGTAGTACCATTGATCCCTGATTACTGACAAATCCTTTTTAAAAACTTCTTAAAAGAGAATAATAATTGTTCTTTTAAGGATTTGAAATACTTCAAATACTTTGTGTTCACAAAGTACAAAAATGAACAGAGACAATCATAACATTATTGCAAATCAAAAAACTTGTTAAGCAATATTCAATAATCTTTTCAATGGTTATTGCAATGAGGATCACGGGACAAAGACAAAAATCCAGAAGAAATAATATTAATTGAGACAGTAAAAAAAAAGGTGGCCATAGATGAAAATCGGTAAGGAAATGTTTTATATTCAACTGAAAAAGCAAATCTCAGAATTTGTGGATCATTTCTGCAGCTAAAGCTGCCCTAGTTAGGGAGAGTAAGGAAATTAAAGATGACAGTGATATATAGTTGGATTCTGGTGGTGGTGGTTAGGGGGGGGTCGTATCAAGTATAACAATCCCAAAAGGTCACCTGGGTCACTTAGAATATTGCTGTCATAATTTTTATTTTTAATCACTTTGATGGAGATTAATTCATCTTAACCAATAAATATTTTTCCAGTGAAGAGTTTAGATGGGTTGAAAGCTAAGTATTAAATGTGAAAACAAAACAAAACAAAATAGTCATTATACACGGTGAGAAATGTGTCATTATAAATGTGATAGTGTGGGAAGAATGTATGACAAATTATTGTTAAAAAATGTTACAGATATCAGTTCTACAAAAGTTGACGATCAGTGAAAAGAAATGTTTTCTCAGTAAAAAAACAGTAATCCTTTATGTTTAATTTTTTTTATACAAGCTAATTACCCTATTTTCATATATATTCTTTAAATATTATTTTTTTTTATAATATAGCAAGAACTATATAAATGTACAAAACAACTACTTTTTGGGTCAATTTAAAAAATTACCAAAGATGGCCTCAAAATTTTGAACTGTATTGTATACATGCTGGTCAAAGTTGAAACTTCAGTACCCAAAAAATGTTTTAATTTACTTGAAATTAAACATACAGGAAATATAGCTGGATTACAGCAAATAATATATATATATATATATATATATATATATATATATATATATATATGCAATATGTAGAAAAATAGGACATATTGGATAGAAAAAATAGGAAAAAAACACACGTTAGGTAAATAAATGTTTTGAAACATGAGAATGCTTATGTAGCAAAGAAATCATATTTTTTTGGTTAATTATAATATATATATATATATATATATATATATATATATATATATATTTTTGTGACTCTGTGTGTGTGTAATTGTATATGCATATATATATATGCACTCTTTTTAGTGCCCCAAAGAGAAAATGTAATGGTTAGCAAGCTTGTCTCACTAGATCAATTACAACTGAGTAGTGAGTTTGATCCTCACTGGGTGCCCCATGTTTTCGGCATTGTGCCACATCTAAGCTACGCTTGGAAAATCACTATACACACACACTGTGACCATGAAAGCTGTGTTTGATTTATAACATTGTTGATTTATCAAGACGGTCTCTTCTTGATGTTATCACTCTGGGGAGATGATCCTAGTGTATGGCACCTTTGGAAAATGCCAGAAAACCATACGGGTTTATCTAATGTCATCTATAAGAAAGAGAGACTCTGTGGAGTTGAGAGTAAGTCTCTGTTCACCACACTGTATATCGGAGCATATGTGGCACAAGGTGTGTGAAAATAGACCATTAGGAATTGTTTTCTTGATTCATGACAATGTTTTTTAAGCTGGACTTTTCTACAACACAATCGTGCATGTTTCCAGTTGTATCATCCAAGGGTCCTTTTGGAGATCAAATGACATTCTGCCATTTTCAATGATGTGGGGAAGTTCTA